AACCTACCACCCCTCTGGTCTTGATCGGCTGTCCTCCTAATAACATTTTGAAAAGCCTTTCCGACCCGGACCCTATCTTAGCATCATCAGGAGAAAGCAATCCAACATCCTTCCAAGTCCCGTCACCCCAGATGGTTACATCTGAGCAAGTCCGACAAGCCGCTGCTGAAATTGGGGCAATTACTTCCTTGATGTGGGTAGATCCAGAAGATGGAGATAAAAAAGGTCCGTCAAATGAACAAGGAAATGATCCTGCTTTGGATGAGTTTACCAAGCGCGTCTTTCGGACACTCGCCACCGTCGCCTATTGGCATGTTCTCCAGAAGAAAAAAGACGTACGAAACCCGGGTAGAGGACCTGGCTGCATAGTATGCTAACGAAGAGAAAGAATTAAATCTATCGACTCACCGGGTCTGGCGTCATACCGTCTCCAAGCATCTGGAAAGAAGAGGTACGACAACGCATTCACTTCAATAAATGATTATGTAGTCTACTATACCAGAAAATTCATACTGGGTCCGTCATTTTCGAGCGGGCGTTTCTCCTATCCGCAGAAGATGCATCGAACTGACTAGAGTACCCTAACGTGTTAGTGGGAATGCTTATAATGGACTCATATAGGGGATGACCATAGCGCAAAACATGTTGTATACCAAAAATAACCTTCCGTTGCTTGCCTTCATAGCCAACCTGCGTGAGATAGCGCATGGTATACCAAAGAAGTCCAACCCTCGTCATAATGTCTCTAGAATCCTGAATCCATGCTGTAAATGCAAGAATGGGAGAATAGAATTAAGTTGGGACCTTCTCAAATATCGGCTTTCGCCGTGGTGATTGATACCTCAGTTGGTCGACGGAGCAGCTTGCACCTGAACACTACCACCTCCGGCCTCTCATGGCAACTGAGGGCCTCAAGTCGAAACCCCCGGAACGAATGCGTTCCTCGATTCATAACTCTCAGAGTAGCGACAAAGGAAAATCAAGGGATGGGCGAGATATATTATTACATGAAGTTAGAGGTCACAAAGGAAAAGGTCGGTATGAAGCCATCTTATAACAAGGAACTTTGGGTCTCAATTACTTTATAGGCCGTCCAATCACGCCGCCAATAAGGCCTTCAACAGATCCACTCGACTTCTTGCCGCATGAACTCTGGACACACATCATCACTCTGGCCATATTAAATGAAGAATCAGCATTTGACGAGATCACACCTCACTTGGTCATGGTTATGATGCTTGTATCGAGGAGATGGGAGGCTTTCCTTATTCAGACGCCGATGTTCTGGACCAATATTCATATACGAGACGACCTGGACGACTTACACGCAGCTATCGCTACTTGTCTTCATTTATCTCAGGATCTCCCGCTTAATCTATATATTACATTGCGATGTGCCGGCTGGGCGAGTATTAGGGCAATACTATACCCTCACCGGTCACGAATCAAGACTCTTAACTTACTGTACAAGAGCCCTTTTGGCGCTCAGTCGGATCAAGTTCACGGTTTATGGATGTCAACCATTCGC